GCTCCGGCCCCGTCACCATCCGCTCTGCTCCAGCCGGCCGTCTGGCTGCCGATTTGGGCAACCCGACGGGAGATGCGCAAAAGGGCCAGCTCTCCACAAAGGGATCCCACCTCCTCCCACCTTTCTCACCCCAAATTCAGCTCAGGAGAGAGCCTCAGGTCGGGCACCGCTCACGCGGGATGGAGGTATCTGCTTGCTCCGGGAGATGCAGAGCATGACATGCAGACAGCCCAAACTGCAGCCCTCCTCCGCATCCATCCACCCTTGCAGGTTTATTAAAACCTCCTGCGCAGGGTTTTTTGCCCCTCCTCGGAAAGGGGCAAATAAACACTGCCTCCTGCCCTGGGAAAGGGGCTGTGCACCGTTGTAGACGGCATGCAGAGATGCTTCTGGCAATTAAGAGTCAGAATTAGGAATGAGTTACACCTGGAGTCTAACAGAGTTAAACCTGGGGTTAAACATCAGGAGTCAGAGCACTTGGGCCTGGTTGCTGGGGATGCCCTAGCAGTGCTCACGTGGCAAAGCACATCAGCAGCATGCGGGCAATGCAAAAAGCACGGCGTGTGGGCTATACGCTCAGAGCACGTTGCAGAACGTGCAGGTGGCTGGATGCTCACAAAGACCCGATGTGCTGTGTTATTTTAGTGGTGTACCCCTTGGAAACTCTATCTTTGCTAGCGGCCGCGTTGGCCATGCCACTGGAGCACCCGCTTGTCAGTGACTCTTGGATGCTCTGGGGTTCATAATTCATTTATATTTTCATTGGAAGCTCATTCACTTTTGGTTGTTGCCCCATAGCAGGAAGCTGCTCTGATGAATGACCAGCACAGATTTCTATTCCAGAGGAGCCCAGGCTTAATGTGGGCTTTCTGTGGACATCACTGTATATCAATACTGCTCTAATTGTCCATGACATATAGTCTTGGCTTTTTTCCCAGACAGTCTAAATAAATCATACACTTCTGCTATAGTAAATAGTCTGTTACAGGAGATGTTATAGGCTTATAGCCCTCCCTCCTCCCTCCAGGAGCTTCTTTTCTGTGCCTCTAATTTTCCATGTACTTTCCATACTAATGAGCCTCTCTGCAAGCGCACCTGCTGCCTGTGCGATCCAAACAGGTTTGCAAGGACAAAGTGCCCAATGTTGCCGCTGACTCCAGGACGGAGCGAGTTTGGCAGCGGAGGGCTGCAGGCAGGGGAGGAGAGGGGTGCCTGGAGCTCTCCTTCGATGCTGGCACCTGACCTCGGCTGAGCAGGAGCAAGCGCGAGCCGGGCTAGAAAGTCTGTTGCACCGCTAAAGAAAGTCGGACGCTGCACACTTGCAAAGTCTGTGTTAACATATATTATTTACATCAGGAGCATACATAAATAAAATAGTAAATATCCTCACAAAAATACAGGTTCTGTTAATTCAGCATCACAAACACAACCCTACCTGCTTCGGCTTGGCGAACCCGCACGCAAGGGACAACGTGGGTCCTCACAGGCCAGCCAAAACGGGATCGCCCCAGAGGCTGCGTAGCCCACAGAGCGCGTGGAGAGACGCGAAGGTCTCCTGCACGTGCTCCCGAGCCGGGGAGAGGATCGTTTTCCAGCCATGAGTTCTCCATGGCAAACACGTGCTTCTCCAAGGAGAAGCAGCAAACACGAAACGCAGCCTCTGCTCGGGCTGATGGTGGAGAGACAAGGTCTCTCCAGGTAAGAAAGCCGGAGTGGGCTGGGCCCGGTGTAGAAGCCCCTGCCCGCCCCAGGCGCCTCAGACGCAGCAGCAGAGCGTGGAGCAGTCGAGCCGCGCGGGGCTCCCGGCGCTCCCGGCCTTCTTGTTCTCCTTGGGCAGCAGCAGGACGAAGGACATGGCCAAGGCGCAGTGGTAGAAGCTGTGCACGTAGGTGTAATCCCACTCCTGCAATCGGGACATTGCGTCAGGGAGACCTGCCGGGCAACTGGGTGCCCTTGGGCTTCCTTATTCTCACGGAGGGAGTTTTGTTTGTTTTGTGGTCCCCCACCCCTGAGTTGATGCCGCCGCCGTGGGGCTGTGCTCAGGCCTTTTCTCTCTCGGTTGTTCCCTGGAGGCACTGGCTTAACTCTACCGTTACATCTCTAAAAGTAGTCAAAAGGAAAGTAAAGCAAGCCCTGAGACTTCTGCCTCTTGCTGTCGGAGAAGAAAGGCTTTTCAGCCTTAAAAAAGGCAGCAACGGAAAAGCAAAGTGGATTTAGCACATTCCAATTTGCACATTTCCCAATTCTTGAATGAAGTGTTTCATTACCCCAGCGAAGGACAAAATAGAGAAGCCAGGAGGGGAGGATGGGGCGCAAGGGGGGAGGGAGTTGCTGCTAAGTGACGTTTTTATGTTCTGCTAGAATTTGCAATTACCAAATGCTTTGAAAAATAATCCTTGGGGATCGCTGTGAAGTTGTATCTAGTAGCTCCCAATGCACAGAGCAGCAGTAATGCAAGGGCTAAACACATGCTTGACTAGCAGCTGTGTCAGGAGGGTTATCTCCTTCCTCTCTCCTTCCCTTTCTGGGCGTTAGAGGCAGAACATTTTACGCAGGAAGAGAGGATTGGCCAGTGGTGAGAGCAAAAGGTTAAAAGCCGGATCCAGTGCCCCAGGGAGCCAATTGAGCGTCTTTGCATTGGCGTGAGTAAGCCTTGGCTCGGGCTGTGCCGAGGTCATATCCAGTCCCTGCCATGGATTTGCGAGGTGTCCTTAAATCACCCATGCCCGGCTTCCAAAAAAGGCGACTAACATTCAACAAAATAATTTCAAAGACTGCATCTGTCTGAAGAAAATGTGACCTGTCCCAGTGTAAACTCACTTGTGGATAGAAAGCAGACAAGCGTCCCCCTGTATGCTGCTCTTGATCAACTTCGTGCCCTACCCAAACCGCAGTTAATGAGCCCAGCGTTGGGATGGGCACACGGAGGGAGCGAATCCCTGCTCGACCAAGGTGCACCAACCCCACAGGCAGGAACTTGAGCTGAATTTTGTCCAAGGCTGGACGTGAAGCCGCGGTGCAAGGGGGAAATCTCCTATCTTGGCAGTGTCCTTTACACGTTGTAAAGTCAGCGTGATTTATCGTGCAGAGACGTACCTCAAAAAAGAACCTCAGCATCAGTGCTAATGCCCCAAAACAGAAGCCAGGACCGATCTGTTGGGTGTAGACACTCTTGTCTGGATATAGACCTTTCTTCTCTTTCATCTTTTGGAGCTGGAAGGAAAGAGAGAACACACCAAGCGTATTCGCCCGGGTTTAACTCACTGCTCAGCATCTCAGGGATCCCACGAATGTTAAAATAAAACCAAGCAAAGCCTGCAAACCAGCTCCCCCTGAGGCCAGGGTATTCGTCTGTAGCATGAAGCACCTACACCTGGGCGCTGCTCTGGATCCCCCGGTGTATCGCTGTTTCATTTTTTGATCATAAGGGTGTTTTCCTAATATTCAGCCCAAAACCCAGCTTGGGAAGTTTGTGCCTAGTAAGCCCCGTTTCTGCCTCAGAAACGGGGCCAGAGGGAGGGGGTATCAGCACAAGCTCCACGGGCTGGAGGAAGTGGGATGATCTCCGTGTCCGTTCCCCCAAGAAACAGAAGGAAGATGCCCTTCCTCCTCCCCATCTTGTCCGTTTGCTTTTCCCTGCGTGCTCACCCCACGCAGCCATGACTTCAGGGGCCCATTACCTTTGCTGTGGCCCCAATTTGCTGCTGTAATTCAGTCCCTAATGACGGTAACGATGAAGGGAGTGCTGGCTCCCGGCAGCGCTGCAGACAGGGCTTAGTGGCAGCGTTTAGCTGGGGTTTGGATCACTGAATTTCCATGATGCTTGGCAGTGTCTTTCTGCAATTTTTGTTCCATCACTGAATCCTTCGCCTTTCCCTTTTACGGACATGCTCGCTCTTGCTAATGACTCTGACACATGCGCTCCCTCCCGGATAATTCTGATCAGGGACAGCAATATTTGCAGGAAAGAAGTTATGTGATTGTCATCCCCGGAGCTGCAAGCCAAATTCAGGCAGCTTTTGGGCAGATTCCTTCCCACTTTATCACCGCCTTTTATGCACATCTTCCATTGGCTTTAGGGCAGTTTACCCGAGCACTCTACCCCTTAGTAGCTGTAAAAGCCCCGTAAATACGTTGCTCATGATTAGAAATGCAGGAACGAGAGATGCGGTGGGTTGTTCAGACAGATTGAATCTGGCATTTATCACAAAAACTGTTTGCTGTCTGCCTGCTTGCTGCTTTGATTGCAAGAGAAGTACCGTTTAATCACCTTGATAACCTGCACCCTGAGGGCTGGAGCTGGAGAAGGAAGTTGCTCTCCTGGCACTGTCTCTCCTGCAGGTCAGGAAAGCTCCAGGGAAAGCTCAGTCTGTTCCCTGTGGCGGGCTGGGGATGGCGTCACACAACGGCGACTTTGAGCCTAGGTGAAGTGCCCGTACGGTTTCGTACTTACCCATTTCACGGTTATCACGAGGACGGCTGTCCCGATGGGTCCTGAGTAGACTCCGTAGCCCCAGCGGTCGTGGTAGATCCTCACTGCTATGGTGAGCACACCAAACATGATGAAGGTGGATCTCTTCGGCTCATCGAACTCTGCCAGCGCTGCGTAGCACAAACCACAGGCAGCATCAGGCCATCTTGTCTTCCCTTTCTCCCATTGTGGGGCAAATGCTTTGGTGTCTCTATTGCATGTCTAAAGCTTTACTGAAGTCTGCCTGGGTCTGCCCCAGGACGCCAAGAGTTTGATCCAAGTCTGAGGTTTGCCTTTCTTACGTCTCACAGCTGGGGAAACCGAGGCACACAAGGGGCAAAATGAATTGTCCCAAGGTATATGAGAAGGCAGTGGTGGGTCTGGGAGCTGATGTCAAATGTCTTAAATTCGGCATCGTGTGTGGAAGTAAAAGAAGGTTTCCTACCCTCTATTTCCTTTCCTTCCCCGCTCTCCTCCCAGCCCGAGTCAGCTCTCACTGACTGAGAGGTGAGCACGTGCAAGCTCAGGCATTTTGCATGTAGATGGGGAAGGCACTTGCAGAGGTTCAAGGGCACTGGGGTGACAGCTTAGGACACCTGGGGACACTGAATAGCTCTGGGTTTGGCACAGCCTGTGACTCTAGTCCGTGAACCCCAAAACTTGCTGGAAGTGAAAGGTGTTGAGCATCCTTTCCTAGAGCAGACCCTGGCTTTGCAGGCGACCGAGGTACCTCTGAGAGCAGAGCCCAACACTGAGGACGTGGAGAGAGTCTACTCATGCAACTGCCGTTGCTTTCAATAGGAGGTGAGTAGCCAGCTCTTCTCAGCGGCTCTGCAGAAGCCAAAGAGCCCAGTAAATCCTTCTGGGTGGCGGCAGCTAGCCCGACTTCACCAGCAGAGCTTCCTTCTGCCTTTCCTTCACTTTCCAGGCGGACTGAGAAGGCCCAGACCCGGGGAGCTGGCAACTGGCTCTTCAGTTAGTCCTTACCCCTCCAACCCAGCCTAACCTTGCTGGCTCGCCTGATCCAGCCACCACCTACCCAGCTCCGGGAGGGCTGCTCTGGCCCAGCCCTGGAAAGCTGCGAGCTGGTTGCGATCAGGGCGGGATGGGGCTGCTGGACTATGCGGACACCTGCCTGGAGTTTGGAAGCTCGAAGTTGCCAGTGCAAGTGAATTATTAGAGGCTTTTGTTTAGCACAGAATGGGGTAATAACTGATAAAAGTTATGGATCCCAGTGGGCTCCATGCTTTTCCAGCTCGCACAGCTGTGTTATGGCTGTCCCGGATTTGCATTCCGGGAAGCGTGCCCAAGGGTCTCCGTCCGCACATGTGCGCTCGGGCTTTACAAGCCACAGCGCGAGAGGCTTCCCTGCGCTTTAGTCACCACACCTTCCATGTCCTTGGATCGCATTTTTATAGGGAGTTTGGCTAAGGGATAATGTCCGCATTTTAATCTCTGTTGTTTCCCTGCGGGTCAATATTTTAAACATCTTAGTCCGAGATTTTTATTTTTTATGAGTTTTTTTAAATGCAGAAACGAAGCAATCAAGTCGAATTGTGCTGCAAGGAGCCAAAGTGTCTGGATGAGCTCTGACCTACCCTGACATTGCTATTGTCTACTGAAAAATGTCCTTGGGAGATGATCTGTCTAGTTGGGTTTTTTTTTTTTTTCAAGTTATCATGGAGAGTGCTAAATTGCCATGGGCAGCAAGAGAAGCCACTTGAAATCTGTAGGACTCAGACCTTGGGTGAGTCCTGCTGGCATTTTCAGCTGTGCATGGCCCAATACATGGGCCCAATGACCCCGCACCAGTGTTTGGAGGGCTGGGGACCTTCCCGGTTGGAAGAAGGCTGGAAAAGGGATTGCTGCTAGGGACGGGCCAAATTTGGGGAGCAAAACATTGGCGGTTGAAAGGTGACTGCCCCCTCCTCTCCCTCCCCTTACCCTTTCCCTCTCAGAAATGCTCATCTGTTCTTCCCCCTCCCAAAAAAAAAAAAAAGTTGGCAAAATTGGAGAATAAAAAAAGAAAACGTGAAGGTTTCATCCTTCTCTAGTTCTTCCATTTTTCTTATTTCAGTTATACCTTGTTCCAGTAGCAAATGAGAAACAAAAAGAAGGAAAAAAGAGAATGAAGAGGAAGTAGGGAAAAGAATCTGAATTTTTAATAAAAAGCAAGTGATATATCTTTCTCCTTTTTCAAATCCAATCTAATATTTCCACTCAGTCCAGACTTGGCTTTTGATAAACCAAGGAGATTATTTGTGTTTTGACTAAGCCACTTCGATTTGCGTGCTACCAGGGGAAGTGGCAGATTTCTCCTTTCTTAATGCCTTCAGGTCGAGACTGGATGCTACCCGGGAAGGCAGACTTCAGACCGACAAGCTGACAGGCTCCATACAGGGATAATGAGGAGAAATATGAGATTCTCTGATACATGAGGTTTCAAACTAAGTGAGCTGATGATGGCAGAAGAACACCCAGCTAATACAAATACCGGGCACCAGAGCTCTGTTTATCCCCAAGAGCAAAACTTTTCCAGCCACTGTTCAAGACAGTTTTATGTGCCTGTACAGCACCGAGTGCCATGGCTCTCCAGGGTGCAAAGAGTGTAAAAACAGACCCAACCACAGCTCAGCCTAGCTTGCAGAAAAGGCTGCCTCAGGGTTAAGTCTTGCAGATGGGAGCTCAAAGGCAGCAGCGTTGCCGGTGACTGCCCCACCAACCACGCCACCGACAAATCCTGCGCCAACCTGGCAGCGCCCCGCGAGCCCCGGGCTTACCCATCAGCGACACCCACATGGACAGGGCTGTCCCGTAGATGCTGAAATACTCCAGGATGTCGTAGCGCATGAAACACAGCACTGATAAACCAGGGCCATCGCACGCGTGGTAAATCTATTGAAAAAAACCAAAGCATCAAAAAGCATGTTACAAACGGCATGTCATCTTTATCACGGCAATTGGATCCTCGTTTGTTATCGATACCTAGTTGCCTACCCAGTGACAACTAAGGTAAAGGAGAAGACTTCTGCGAGGTGGTCTGAAACGGGCTTTGCGCGGCCTGCGAAATCGAGGGCCAGCCGGGAGCAGAAACCTGGAGTCTCAAATACACCGGGGGACGGATGTGCGGTCATGAATGTATTTGGCAGATAATGTCACCATCCCCGACTGCAGATTGCCTTAGGCAACCGCAGCAGCTGCGGCGCCGGGCGGCTCCTCCCGACAGCGCCGGCAGCCGCCTGCCCGCCCCGGCGCGCGGGCCCTCTGCCTCTACCAAGCCTTCATG